CGCACCTGTAGATGAGCATTCCATAAGAATTGCTCCAGAGAGGATCCAGAATGTCTCTCTGGAAGGTGATGTTTTAACCATTTCTCTCCACAGGGACTATGTTGAATCTGTAGATCTGGCAGGTCATGCTCAATTCCTTGCCAGAATTGAAAGGGTTAATAACAACTTATTCTTTCCTATTCAAATACATGACTTAGGAAGAAGTAGGAATGCAAAGCTGGACTTACAGAGTGAGAACAGCTATATTAGCAGAAGTCTGTTAAAGCAGATCGCTAATCCTAAAATGATCAGGTATGCTTCCCCACATGACAGGTGGATCCAGAATCTGGATGGCGAATCAGAGAGTCACAATGTGATAGCAAAATGTTTACTATCTATTTCCATCGGAAATAAGACAGTCAAACATTTATTCCTAGTGATAGACGAACCTCGCTATCAGGTTTACGTTGGCAATGATGTCATACATCGCTTTGCCATACACCTTGACCTGATTAATTCCAACTTGTGGACAAGGTTAAAAGGTAATCCTTGTGGATACCTACACGAGGAAAACGCCCTGAAATCAGGACAAATACTCCCATATGCGGTAAGTATCCAAGTTCCTGATGACATAACCATTCCACAGGGGACAAGTAATTTTCTTTTACCCCTACAGGTCAAGGAGGGTCAGAGATTGGAAAACTCTGATGCCCTAATCTGTTTATCCAACAGGATACAACAATTAGGGATGGTGGTAACACATACACCAATGGTAAGTATTGGTAAGAATCCCACCTATATCATGGTCAACAATGTTACACCCAATAGTGTTACTTTACCAAAAGGAACATTATTAGGTCTAGCATTGGATGCTGAGTACTATACATTTGGTTTCCAAAACCAAATTATAGGCCTCATCCCTGAAGAATACTTAACTGAGGACGAAATTGTCGATCAAATATTCCATTCCTCCCCAGAAGGATTATTCACTATCCTATCTGTATATCCCTTCAACGTTGAAGAAGGCTCGTGTAAAATCGAAGAAGCATCTATCACCTTCGATCATCCGCTCAATGAGCAGGAATCACAAGAGTATCTCGACCAAAGAGAAAAGGTAAGTCAACACCGAACTGACCTAACTTCTAGGCTTGAAGAAGCTTATGAGATAGGCCAGCCTGAAATCTTTCCAGGATTTCAGGAAAGGCTAGAAGAGCAAATATCTTTAGCTGACGGTTGCTCCAACGATGCTGAGCGGCAACAGCTAAAGGAAATCCTTTTGGAATTCCAAGATATTTTTGCCAAAGATTCCTACGACTGTGGGTTAACTAACCTCCACGTAGCCAGAATACAAACTGATCCAAATTTACCACCTGTATTTATCAAACAATATAGACTCCCATTAGCGTCATATGATGGTCTACAAGACATCATTCAGAATTTAAAGGAAAGGGGCATTATACGTCCAGTGCACAGTTCGTATAATAATCCGATCTTGGGGATTCTGAAACCTAATGGACAATGGCGTTTATGCGCTGACTTACGACAGCTAAATAAACGCGTCTATATGTCTGGTTGGCCAACGCCATACATAGACCAATGTTTGGTACAAATGCAGGGATCCAAAATATTCACTGCCATTGACTGTGCGCAGGGATATTGGACTGTACCAGTCCATAATGAAGACCAATACAAATTGGCCTTCACATTTGGAAAGCAGCAGTATACCTGGACCCGTATGCCTTTCGGTTATATAAACTCTGGTCATGAATTCGCTGTGTTCATGCATAAAGCTATGCCTGACGCACTCGAGAGAGGAACGTTATCATATGTCGACGATGTCTTGCTGAAAAGCACTTCCTTTGATAAGCATATCTTAGAGATTAGACATGTTCTCACTCAGTTAAGAGAGGCAGGGATTAAACTGTCTTTACAAAAGGCACAATGGTGTCGCACCCATGTCAATTTCCTCGGACATGAGGTAACTTCTGAAGGATTAAATCCCCAGAGGAAGAAGGTTGAAGCCGTACTAAAGGCTAAAACACCTTCAAACATCAGGGAATTAAGATCGTTCCTTGGTATGACTAACTACTCCCGTAAGTTTATAGATAACTATGCAGAAATAACTAAACCACTCTTACACCTGCTTAAAAAGGAAACTACCTGGAACTGGGGGGAGCCTCAGGACCAAGCGGTAAGTGAACTGAGGAGGAAGCTCACTCAGGCACCCTGTTTAGCATACCCAGAGGGGGGTAAACCCTTCTATCTGGAGACAGGATATACCGATTTAAGCATAAGTGCTGTTCTGTATCAGAAGCAGGACAGTTTAAACAAAGTTATTGCATATGCTAGCAAGACTTTGTCACCTGTTGAAGTTAAATTCAACACGTGTGAGAAGGCGTTATTGTCGACTGTCTGGGCACTACAAAATTTTCGTAGCTATATCCAAGGTGAGAAAATAATTGTAGAAACAGCTCACCAACCTCTACAGTATCTGCAGAGTGAAAGAATTAGAGACGGTAATCTCTCTAACAGTCGGATTACTGCATGGACTCTATCCTTACAGGGATGGCCGTTAGAAGTCCGTTATAAACATAATAAGAGAAGCCCAGTTGCCCAAGGTTTAGCAGAATTACATGACTGTACTGCTCCATCTCTGGATGATAATGACACCGGAGATGACTTCCTAGAAGAGCAATTGCTATCTCCTTATAAAGTTTATGACGAGGAATACTGTCGACCACTACCGTGGGTATACATTGATGGTTGTTCATATCACCACGTCGCTGGTGCTGAACGGAAGTTAGTTGCAGGTATCGGAATCGCCTGGACAGGTGATTATCCCAATGTATCTATAGGATACAATATTGGTCCCAAAAGCAGTCAGATAGCCGAACTCTGTGCAGTATATAAGACCATTCAAATGGCAATAGAATATGGTATCAAAGAATTTGTTATCATAACTGATTCCAACTATGTTCGCAACAGTTTCGTCGAATATCTGCCTAGCTGGAAACGTAACCAAATGCTGAAAAGCAATAACAAACCTGTTAAACATGGGAAATTGTTTTGTAAAATCGATGAACTGGTTAAGGAAAATGGTTTATCCATATATTGGAAGAAAACCAAAGGCCATTCTAAAATAGAAGGTATTGACAAGGATGGTAATGACTTAGCCGATTCACTGGCAAAACAAGCTGCCATCAATGGTGAAACCCTAAACATTGATGATCTTATGGGTTCAATTCATGTTGAAGCCATAACTAGACGACAGGCTAGAGATAATGCCGACTTAAATGTCGTGCAATGGAGTCAAGAAGCTCCTAGTGAGGACCTGATTACTAGTCAAAAGAATGATCCCGTCATAGGCATATTCTATAGACATATAGAAGACCCTACTGCCAATCCCATCACAGATGAGGATTGCAAAGATAATGAAGATTTACGAATCTTGATGAGATATAAAGTCCAATTTAGTATCATGGATGGGTTACTGGTCAGAACTTCTAAACATGGTATACAACAATGGGTAGTCCCAACTGTATACAGAGGGTTAATGCTCCAACACGCACATGATGCACCTACATCTGGGCATCGTGGTGATAAGATCACATATGAGATATTGCGTGATTATGCATATTGGCCACACATGTTAAGGGATGTTAAGACATACTGTCAGGGATGCTTGATTTGTCCGCAATATCAACCCCATGGTCCAACCCATCGTGCACCACTTCAGAAGAGGGGGGTGTCATTACCCTGGTCTGATATTCAAATTGACTTTATAGGTCCTGTAACAAGATCTTCAAGAGGTAACAAATACATGTTAACCGTTACATGTATGTACACAAAGTGGATAGAATGTTTGCCTTGTAAAGAGAACACGAGTACCGTGTGCGCCACTTTGTTGATTAACCATGTCTTTTCCAGGTTCGGTCTGCCTCAAAGAATTGAGTCAGACAGAGGTAGTCATTTTACCAGCGAAGTAATGGCTAAGATGTGGAACATTCTAGGTGTTAAACGAAAGCTACATATTGCATACCGCGCTGCGTCTAGCGGGGGGGTAGAGCGATATAACCAGTCTATCGTTAATATTCTGAAGAAGTATGTTAAGGAGTCTGGTAAAGACTGGGACATTAAATTGCCCCTAGTTTTAATGGCGATTAGAGCTACACCTAGCACTGCTACCAAATTGTCACCTTTTGAATTGATGACAGGAAGAAAGATGGTTTTACCACAGCATTTACTATATCGTACTTCGGATCATAACTTGATCAATGCTGCCACTACGCATCAGTATATCGAAGATTTGCGCAAGCATTTACAGCATGCGTTTGCTTTTGCCCAAAAGAATCTAGAAAAAGCAGCGACAGGGGTTAAGACCTATTACGATCTAAAAACCACGAAAAAGGAATATGAGATCACAGATCAAGTCTATCTGTATAACTTTGCGCGAAATCAAGTCAAGGAAAATAAATTTTTACCTTCTTGGAAAGGGCCATATGTCATTATTGACAAAATTTCCCCAGTAGCGTACAAGATAAAAATTCCTAAGGATGGTGATTTTATTGAAAAGTGGGTTCACATTAACCAGTTGCGTGCTTGTCATCCTAAATCTCAATTAAGGATTATAGGTGTGGATTCAGACGCAGAAGGGTGAACGACTAACCTGGATGAATGCTTGATTCACGTGGTATAGTATGATGTGAAATGTTGTGATGTGCCATGATCTCATGTACGTTCATGTCATTAACCATTTCCTTGCCATCCAATAACTACATTTTATAAGCAGGTTACTAGCTTGTTTAACTGCTATAGGCAAATTGCTGAAGAGTCAGTAATAAATGTAGTGAGGGATGAAGTTATAAAAATAGAATTAGACAGAATACATATGTTGATGAATCGTAAAAATGTGTTGACCTAGGCCAAGTGATGTCACACTGTTATAAGTTTGTATGCTTAACAAACCTTGAATCATTAGTAGATAAGTCTGAAACGAGTTCCTGATCCGTGACTGTCGAAAGATGTCCAAGAAGGATGTGGCGTGTTTCTGGATCGTACTGCTCCTGTGCCAAGAGCTACGGACCGACCCGATCGCAGAGATGGGACCATCCTCCGGCATCCTGATTCAAGAGACACCAGGGTTCATCTTAACAGAGAAGAGGATCCTGACCAGACGTGTGTTCGTCAGCTTGGACCCCAAGATTTCCATCGAGAAGGCATACAACATTTCATCGATGCAGCTTCCTGAGTTACAGACTTGGTACCAGATGCACCTCCAAAGAGCACAGGACCGTGTGCGAAACATCTTGGAGCAAGCCCGGAAACCATTTGTATCCAGTTCTATTCCGATGAGCAACCGACCCAAAAGGTTCCTCACCGCTATAATTGTTGCATTAGTTTGTGCCACTGTCGGTGCAGTTGTCGCAACTGGAATGTCTGCAGCCAACTCTATTACTGTCCAAAAGCTGGATATGGAAATCTATGCGCTAAAGCAACACATTAACGATATTCATCAGGTGATACAACAGCAAAGAACACTTCTCCAAGACGTGTTAACTATTGTGGAAGACACAGTTGTTACAACAAATTTGCATTCAGAGTTAATTGCCAAATCCACTGAGTTGCACCAAAGTCATGACTTATTTAAGCGTGAACTTCTATTTCTGCATGACCCAATATTGTTCCACACACTTGCTTTTCTTGACGAAGTGCAAACTGGAATGATCGAATTGGCAGGGGGACGCATACCTCTGTATTTGTATCCAAGGATATTGTTCATGCGATGCTTGCCAATGTGGATGGAGAGACAATTGAGCCTATGCAATTAAATCTGGCCTTTGAGATGGGGAGCGCTATACCTCTCTTAATTGATCCGGAACGTATGGAGATTTGCTTTTTATTGGCCATACCATATGTAACTCCCAAAAACATTTTTCAAATGAAAACAATGTACTATGATAATAATGATATTATGGTTGATTGTACTAAATGTAAAGTTCAAAACTTTTACAGGTACAAATATATACAAAAATGTTCATTCCACGCACGGGCCTATGTTAGAAATGATGTGATTGCACAATATGTCTGGTAACTTCTATAGTGCTTATTCATAAGCTAAATTAATTTTGGCTATGAAATGCACTAAAGGGGGGTTATGTCAGAGTATTTATATCGGCAGACATTTTGTGCTATGATAGAAACTAAAAGTGTATATTCTGAGTCACTCTGAACAGACCAGACTCCATTTTGTTATTTCAAGTTAACAAAAAGACACTATATTTCTATCTGTAAGCTAACCACTTTCCCAGATCTGAGGAATGCATAGTATATACAAACAAGTGATAAGGAAGGGGGTTGGACAGACTGTCTAATGCTAATGGAATATAATCAAATCTAAACCCAGACAATTGTGACAGAGAAGATTAAATAATTTAATATTTAACTGTCTATATATATAAGGTACCATTGTATGGAAAAGGGTAAACTTAGTTCATGATCTGTCATATCAGAAATTATGGCAGGAATTGCAGACGCTAAGTCTGGACAAAATTTAAGAAACCCTTTGAAATTTTAAATTATGGCGCTATAAAGATAACGCAAAATGACGTCAAAATAGCCACCAGGAAAAGTTAACTCTTTCCTGGATAGGTATGTTTAGTGGGACAAGACTGCCCTCTACAGACCAAATAACTAATTTGCGATCTGGAAGATAACCACAGCTCTAGTGCTTCTATTGGGTTATCAACTGATGACGTACAGAGAGTCTGGCCCTTTAAAAGTTAGGACAAAGGGAAGAGAGAGAATACACGATACGAAGGAGGCAGATGCAAGATATGCAAAGGAGAGAAAAGAGAGGAATTGGAAGTTTGGGGACTCCAACCTCCATGCAGAGACACATCCAAATAAATTCCTGAGACTACCAATCGGATGAAATATCTACTCAACTGGTAATTATACTGGTTTCATTTAATTAAATTAAATTAATTAAAATGTATTAATAGCATTATATATGACTGGATAAAGCACGGTCAGATTTCCATATTAAGAAATCTTAGTTAACTAAGAATATATAGTTATAAACATTCCATTCTGCAGGTGGAATTAAGAATAATTATATATTGATGTGATATTATCACGTGTTAGCATACCGCTGTTTTTATCCAGGTGTATTGATTTGCTCTAAATTAAGATAGATATCTTTTAGACAAATTAAAAATCTGCTTATATAATGGTAAATTCTCTTATGGATGGTTTAAGAAAATGAATTTAAACTGGCTTAAATGTTATTTTATTTAAAATTTACATAAGAATAGATCTTAACTACCTAGGAGATCTAGCCAGCATTGAAAGGGTTATTCTAACTGTCTGCTAAACTTTACGACCTTACGCTGCACTCTGAGGAATTCTGTTCTCTGCGTGAAAAGTTTCACTTTCAGCCTGTGTTAAAGATACCTCATAAATCGTCAGAATTCTTGACAGAAAATGCTAGTTAGCCATTGAAACGTAATACCCATCCCTTTGTATTGCATATAATTTTGTACTGGATATTCATTGATTATTGTTATGCATGTTACATAATATTATTTGTTAATTATTGATTATCATAAATAAAATCTATTTTTATACATTGTGATATTATTATATGAAATACATTCCACTTAACACGATAAACGTTCTTTGGGATCTGAGAATTGAAATAGTGGGCAATTCTCAACTGTTACTATTATTATCCCATAAATATCCCCACAATGCACAAGCTCACTACAGTCAAGCTTACTGCCGCACACAAGTTCACTGACAAACATTCACTCAAGAACACTGCAGACAAACTCAGTGACAAACACAAACTCACTACAGACAAGGTCATGACACACACAACCTCTCTGACCCACACAAGCTCACTAATGACAAACACAGAAGTGATCTAAGCCCCACAAGTTCACTGACACACATAAGCTATCTGACCCACACAGGCTTACTACAGGGAAGGTTACTGACACACACATGCTTACTACAGTCAAGCACACCAACACATACAAGCTCCCTGCCCCATACACAAGATCACAACAGACAAGCTCACAGACACACAGAAGCTTACTACAGACAAGCTCACTGACGCACACAAGACCCCTGATCCATACACAAGCTTGCTGACCTACAGAAGCTCTCCTACCCACACAAGCTCACAATAGACAAGCTTACTACAAGTAACCTCATTGACACACACACACATGCTCCCTGATCCATACACAAGCTCACTACAGACAAACCTAGTGACACACACACAAGTTTATTACAGGCAAGCTCACTGACACATAAGCTCACTACAAGCTCACTGATATACACAAGCACACTACAAGCTCACTGACACACACAAGCACACTACGAGCTCACTGACAAACGCAAGCACACTTCAAGCTCACTGACACACACACGCATACTACAAGCTTACTGATACACACAAGCTCACTACAAGTTCACTGATACACACATGCTTACTACAAGCTCACTGCTACACATAAGCTTATTAAAATAGCTTAGTGGTGTACTAGCAAAACAGATTTATTTAACCAATCATTGTTAACAGGAGTAGTCCCAGAAGATTGGAAGTTAGCGAATGTGGTGCCCATTCACAAGAAAGGTAGTAGGGAAGAGTAGGGCAATTATAGGCCAGTAAGCCTTACTTCATTAGTGGTGAAAGTAATGGAAACCATGTTAAAGGATCAGATTGTTGAACATCTAAAAACACATGGATTTCAAGATCAGAGACAACATGGGTTTACTTCAGGGAGATCATGCCAAACTAATCTTATTGATTTTTTGATTGGGTAACTAAAATAATAGATCAGGGTGGTGCAGCAGACATTGCTTACCTAGATTTCAGTAAGGCTTTTGACACTGTTGCACATAGAAGGCTCATCAATAAACTGCAATATTTAAATTTGGATTCCAATATTGTTGAATGGGTAAGGCAGTGGCTGAGTGACAGACGACAGAGGGTTGTAGTCAATGGAGTATATTCGAAGCATGGGCTTGTCACCAGTGGGGTACCTTAGGGATCTTTACTTGGACCCATTCTCTTTAATATTTTTATTAGTGATATTGCAGAAGGTCTTGATGGTAAGGTCTGTCTTTTTGCTGATGATACTAAGATATGTAACAGGGGTGATGTTCCAGGAGGGATAAGCCAAATAGCAAATGATTTAGGTAAACTAGAAAAATGGTCAGAGTTGTGGCAACTGACATTTAATGTGAATAAGTGCAAGATAATGAATCTTGGATGCAAAAACCCAAGGTCAGAGTACAGAATATTTGATAGAGTCCTAACCTCAACATCTGAGGAAAGGGAGTTAGGGGTGATTATTTCTGATGACTTAAAGGTAGGCAGACAATGTAATAGAGCAGCAGGAAATGCTAGCAGAATGCTTGGTTGTATAGGGAGAGGTATTAGCAGTAGAAAGAGGGAAGTGCTCTTGCCATGGTACAGAACATTGGTGAGACCTCACTTGGAGTATTGTACGCAGTACTGGAGACCGTATATTGATATTGATACTTTAAGAGAGAGTTTAGAGAAGGGCTACTAAACTGGTTCATGGATTGCAGGATAAAACTTACAAGGAAAGGTTAAAGCATGGGTCGTCAACCTGGTCCCTGCCGCCCAGTAGTGGGCATTTCAGGATTCCAGGTGGGCGGTAGAGGGTTCAGCGGCACAAGATGCTGAATTCTCCTTCCATCGAGTGGGCGGGCGCGAGTGCACTAACGCACATGAACGCATACATACAGGTGCGAACTTGTGAGAATAAGAGAAGGTGTGCACGCAAACAAGAGAACATTTGCATGCGCGTGCGTGCCAACATGAGCAAGTGTAACACGTGGGAAGAGGAAGGGGAGGAGTGTGAGCTGATGCACGATAGCAGGGACATGCAGAAGCAGAGCAGAGCACTTGTAAAATAGGAGAAAGAAAATTTATAGGCAGGAGAAGGAGAGCATTGTTGTTGGCTAATAAGTGGGCTAACTAGAGGAAAGAAAGCAATGTTTAGAGTGGCTCATGGTTTGGCAAGTTAAGTTTTGTTATCTTATAAAATAAAAGAAAGAAAGAAGGAAAATAATTAAAGGGAGGAGTAGGAGAGAATAAAGAGAAAGGGAAAAAGAGACCCCTAATATATTGATATAATATAAGGAAGGTGAAGAAGAAGAAGGCAGGAAAAGTAGCAAAACAAAGGGGAATTTATTTTTATGGTGACAAGTAATAAAAGTTGGCACCTAATACAGCGTTGTTTTAGGTGTTTGTAATAAAAGGGAAAAGAGGGGGGCACTGTGTGGAGTGCATATTAAAATGTGGTAAGAGTAAAGGTAGTTGTTAAATTGTGCAACAAATTTAGAACCCAGTCTGAAAAAAAAAAAATATGCTCGTCGTGGCTATTTACCAGAGTATCTAAAGGCACTTGCTCCAAAAAGTTTGCGTTACTGCAGCACTGGTGGGCGATAAGGAAATTTTACCATCAAGAAAGATGCAATAGTAGGCGGTAGGTATAAAAAAGTTGACTACCCCTGGGTTAAAGGATCTTAACATGTATAGCTTGGAGGAAAGACGAGACAGGGGGGATATGATAGAAACATTTAAATATATAAAGGTAATAAACACAGTAAAGGAGGAGACTATATTTAAAAGAAGAAAAACTACCACAAGAAGAGGACATAGTCTTAAATTAGAGGGGCAAAGGTTTAAAAATAATATCAGGAAGTATTACTTTACTGAGAGGGTAGTGGATGCATGGAATAGCCTTCCAGCTGAAGTGGTAGAGGTTAACACAGTAAAGGAGTTTAA